TGAAGGACCACCAAACTGGAACCGATAGACGAAGATTCAATTTTCAATACGAAACTCCAACCGCCTCTTCCCTGGGCCTCTTCTCCACTTCGAAAGGAAAGCAGCGTAGAGCGTGAGGTTCGGTTTGTCACAAACCATAGTCAGGTAAAAATGATCAAGCAAACATCATTGCGCTACTGTTCAAAATTCAGCGACAAAGCTCTCACAAGAATGTCACGTCCCCATCTAGCTAAGTCTAAGACCATAGCGACCTTCCCCACCCACTAGAGCATCACACCTGGTGATGTCATCTGACGACTTGTGATATGCAACCTCATGACCCGCGCAACATCCCGTACAGTGGAATCGTCGATCATAGTACGTGGGGCATGGACGAGGATTTTGGGAGGGTGACTGAACCGCCAGGATGAAGTTGTGGTTCTCGCCTCAGACCCGAGGGTCCTTCGGGAAACACCAACCAATAGGGACAATCTCAAAATTGCTAAACTTAGATGATGGAGAGAAGCATGACTTTTGCAAGCCCTGCTTCTGGGTTCGGGGACAAGCGTGCAAAATGCAATCCTGCCCGAGAATCAAATGCAAAATATCAGCAAAAGAAATAAAACTAACGCCTAATTTACGTTAGGTTCACACTGCCCTTTTTCGTGGGGGTCAAGGAGAAACGGGACGCCTTACGTGTTCGAATCAAGCCAAGGATGTCTGTCAGATCGACCGGAGTCCTTGCCATTTGATGGTGGTGGGAGCAGAGGTACAAGGACCTTGAAGTTTGCGGGAAGAGATCCCGTGTGACGGAAGAGGTCCGGAAACCAGATCGAGCCTTCGTACCTTGACACCAACCTCTGTTAGGAACACGAGTTCCCAAGCCGACACCAACGATAATTAAACCGAGGCTTCTACGTGGTGTGTGCCACCGACATAGGAAGCACTGTCGGATCGTATTATGGCAGGAAACGACCATTTCGTCAAAATGGACATCTTTTATTTTAAACGAAATTAAAACTGAGTTTTTTGGCCGAAAACTCGTCAAAATTTGTTGTTTCTGAGGGTCCAGCGTTTTACAAATGTTGGACCCCCTAGCTGTATATGGACCTAGCTTGAGACCAGGCACCTCCAGGCAGGACTGCCTGGAGGTACCTGGTCTCAAGCTAGGTCCATGTACAGCCAGGGGTTCCAGCGTTTTACAAACGCCAGACCCTCAGGAACAACAAATTTTGACGAGTTTTCGGCCAAAAAACTCATTTTCAATTTCGTTCAAAAAATAAAAGATGTTCATTTTGACGAAATGGCAGTTAGGATAAAACCGAACCAACTCCCCCTTTATAACACGCCTTAGACGGGTTGTAGAAGTGAACCGGATTGGTTTGCAGTAGCGCAAGAGGTCGCAAAACCATTTTTTTTCGTACCCATATTCGACCCAGCCCAAGCCTTGATGTATCATATACAGCCGGACCCACGTAAACACAATTTTTTTTTAACCCAGACTCAGCCCACCCACACTAATTTAATTTTTTTTCTATCCGTACCCAGCCCACCCAGGGTGATTTAAAAATTGTCTACGCATACCCAGCCACACCCAGACCAATTTTTTGTTCATCCACATCCAGCCACACCCAGACCAATTTTTTGTTCCTCCGCATCCAGCCACAACCAGACCAAATTTTTGTTCATCTGCATCCAGCCGCACCCGAACCCAATATCCATCCACCCGTGGCCAGTCGTACCTGTGCCCAAAGTTTTCCACCCAGGCTTAGTTTTTATCTTTATTTTGAACTTAGACCTTTGCATGTCGGATTCTTTAGCTTCCATCCACAGATCTCCGCTTCGAATTTTGGAGGCGGCAATTAGGGTTGTCGAGCCCCTGCCCCGGGGCCCCGGCGGGGGT